TCTATACTTGGCTTATCGAAGGTCGATCTACCGTGCCTCCTCCACCTCCGAGATCTTCTTCCACGGCGACGTTCGTTGGCGCTTCCATCTTAGTGGCAACCTCCTTGCTAGCGTGGACAATCTTCCGCCGTTCAACTTAGTCTCCGTAGGAAGAGAGTGCTAAAGGCCCCAAAGTGTGAACAACTTGGTATTAATCTTGGGATTTTATTTACTAGCTTTTGTTGTTACGTTTTCTTTTGCAATTGCTTAAAGACCTAGCACCATTGTCGTATTTTTTCTTGCCTAACAAATCAAATATCGCGACTTTCTTCTAATCTACTTGACTTTGATGTATGATGAAATAATTCGTGGAAGCTAATATTTGATTATCTTTTAAAGTTCTTGTGTAACTCTCAAACGCATCACATCACTAATAAAATTGATTATTCTAATTAATTTTATCAGTTAGTTTTGTTTAAAAGATATTTAAATTTAGGGCTTTTACTTTTATCAAGTCAATAATGCTAACATATCTCTTTGTTAGTTTGGTTATTGAAATCTTTTTTTGGGCGCTTTAATCCTACTAGGCTCTTAATCTCATTTCTAAGTATTATTTCAAGATGGGTCATGGTGCATCGTTAGGTTGGAGATTGAATCTGGAGTAAAAAAAATGGATTACAATTTTCAGATGTTTCATTACATGCTTGAATTTTTGCACGTGAGAAACTGCAGTGAATTTCACTTGTTTTCAGCACAAATTTGTGAATTAAAATATCTTAGAAGTGTGATTCTGTTGCATATGTTGAATAATTATTTTTTATTGTCTAGATTTTATAATTTCCTGAATAGTGGCATTCGAGTTTATTACATTGTTTGAATTGTTACATCATTCTCTCCAGAGTCTAGACCTCGCATGGGCTGTAGTTTCTAGGTACACCCTTTAGTCCAGATTATGGATGATGTAATGTGCAAATATGAATTCTTTACTACTAATCTTACATTCTTACCCTTTATCATATTTATAAGCATAAAATAAATGCTGCAACATGTTTTAACTATTCCTGACAGGCTACATGTTAAGCAAATGAAATGCTTAAAAATCTTCCATTTAGGCCATGGTGTCTTTGACGCACAAGTTAGTCTTTGAGTTGAATTGTCAGTCTACATGGAGTACTTTCCCGTTAACAACATGGACTCTTCCGTTAAATTCAATGATTTACGTAGATTTCTGTCTAAATTGTAATTTCGTAACATTTGATTTTATTTTCTTAGTTTTTTTTTTTTTTTTACAATTCCACTATTGGAAAGAGATAGGGTAAGATTTGCTAGTCTTAAGATTTTGGGAGATCCCAAGCAATCTTCATCCAAGATTTTTTTAAATTTTCTTAATCTTTCAATTGCAAGTATTATAGGCCGCCACCCTTTTTTTTGGTCTTCTAATAATATCCTCATCTATTTCACCATCACTTTGAACAATAAACCCAAGATATCTAAAACTAGTACTCATATTAATGACTTGATCACTCAATGTCAGAAATCCCCCTGATGTGAACCATATGAGATGAAAACCACTAGGAGTTATTTCAAGAAATTTAAGAAGAAAAAAGATTAAAGTTTTGCTCCTTTTAAATTTAAAGCTAGCACATAGAATTGAGTTAAGAATTTGAAAATTTCAACTTTATTAGGTCCAAAGAAATGCAATTGAAATTAACCGAAGCAATTCATTCAAAACTCCAAGAGATTTAGATGCAAAGTACAAGTAACAAAAATCCAACGCTTAACAATGAGAATTTCACCTTGAGGGCCGTTTCACTCAACTATTAGTAAGCTTTAGCGGAGAGAGAAGATCCAAATGATGAAGGATATCACCACTAGAGAGAAGACGCCGAAGAACTTCGTCGGAGGAAAGGTAGCCGGTGGGGATGGATGTCGTAGGTGGCCGTCGAGACTCCAATTGTAATTTGAAAATCGTCGGTCGATGATGCTTGCAAGGATCGGGATGACTCTCTCCAAATATTCTTCCACGGTGGTTTCGTCTTCAAATCCTACGTCGAAGCACGGAGATCGTAGGATGTTGATGCTTCCGTCGGCGTTGAACACAAGACCCCACTCAAGCTCCGGATCCGCCATACGTCATTGAAACGGAGATGGAAGACGTCGCCTTCGTTCCCTCTTGGACTCTTGATTCAAGAGACGGGGAGAGAGAGGGTGGGGGACGGCGGGATTCCATGGGAGAAGGGTGGTCGACGGGTGTAGAGAGGAACAAGGCTTGAAAACAAATTAGGTTTAGATGACTTCTCTTAGGGAATTAATCAAAATCTGAAGTAATTTCAGTTTTGATTAAGTTTGGAGGGAAAATTGGCTTGAAATTTGAAATTTCCAATCAAGCAATTAAGGCATTAGGTGAGGTTAATGAGGGGAAACCAATGGAGGGGCCGGCGGTCAATAGAGGGAGGGAGGAGGTTTGAAAACTTAAAACTGAAATTTGATTTCAATTTTAAGTAAATTAGGAGGGAAAATTATTTGGAATTAATTCCTAATTCAAGAGGAATCAATGCTTTAATGGGGCATTAATGGGGCTCCACCCAAGCATGTGGCCGGCGGCTTCTAGAGGGGGGAATTGGTGTGGGAGCAAGTGGATGGTTTCCAAATTGGGTGCATGAGGTTTAAGAAGGATTAAAACAAAATCCGTTTGAATTTGAATTTTGTCATGAAAACGGATTTAAAAACTTTCCTAATTTGGAAATTCCAAAATTGGAAAGATTTTGAAATTCAAAATTTGAAATTTTCAAAATGTGAATTCGAGGGGAATGGGAGATGAGGTCGGTGGTTGAAAGGTCCACGGACGGATGGTGGTGGTGGGGTGGCCGGCGGCTAAGGGGAAGCTAAGGCCGGCGGGTTGGGGAGAAGGAAGGGGGATCGGATGTTGGGGATAGACCACGAGCCACAGACTCTTCCAATGACTGGTGGGTATTGCTTTTCGCCCTCACCTTGGGCTTTCTCTCTCACCTCTCTCTAGCTCTCATGCAAGAAGAGTAAGAAGAAACAAACTCAAATTTTCATTCAATAATTCATTAAGCCCAAAATAATAGATGAGACCACTATATATAGGTCTCAACTCATACAATGAGAAAATACGAAATTGCCCTCTAGGCTACAATAACAAAGTAAATCCCCACAGGGGTAAAAATGGAAAGACTGCAAATAAAATAAGATAATAATAAATTACATCATGACATCTAATATCAAAAGTAGAGGTACTGAATCGTGGCCGTCGATCTGCGGTTTCGCCGGCGATAAACATGTCGGTAGCGTCTGTCGATGTCCTCATCACCCCCACTAGATCTATTAATACTAAAATTACACTCAATGTATTTGGTTTTAGATCTACTCAAACAAAAACCTTTAGACTCTAAGGTTGACCTCCATAATTTGAGTTTATCTTCAACTGCCTCTCTAGTCTTATCAACAAGAAGAATATTATCAGCAAAAAACATACACCTGGGTACATTCTCTTGCAAATGTTCAATAAGAACATCTATGGCTAAAGCAAAAAGATAAGGGCTTAAGGCTCCAGATTGCAGATTGAAAGTAATTTACAATAAACAAATGCAGTTCATCTTAGGTTGTTTTCATCCACTAAAAGGCTAATAGAATCATTTGGGTAGTAAGGTACTACCACTGGTGGCCACCCTTTCATAGAATGCTAATCTTTGAAGTCATCAGAAACATGATTTTGACATCATGTTTGTGTTGAACCATTCCTGTTCTGTGAATGGAAAAAGTCTACTTGAGAGCCATTCATTGTGAAAATATTTCTGAACTTTTTAATGGTCAGTAATTTGCTGATAATTGTAACATTTTTTTTGGGAAATAACCAATACATTCAAATTTCACCGAGCTTATTTATTGAGTAGCCCTTCTCCCAAATTTGTTTTGGATGCTATATGAAATTATGAAAAAATCCTCCGATAGAGACATGAAAAAGCCGATGCTATCTCATTTTTTGATACCAATGTCTAGGTTTTTCATATAATTTAAGTCTCTTACATTGCAGGTTGACATTGATTTTGATAAAGAATCCATTGGGACTTCAAAGGATGGGAAAAAGGTGTACTTCAGAGATATCTGGCCAACCAGTGAAGAGATTGCCAATGTAAGTTTGATTATTCAGCTTCTGTTGATTTTATCTTTCTTGACTACAGACTACTAGCCATCACTTTATGCTTTAAAACCTTTTGATCTAGGTTGTGCAATCCAGTGTCCTTCCAGACATGTTTAAATCTACTTATGAAACGATCACCACAGAAAATCCCATGTGGAATCAACTACAGGTGCCACCCACCAGTCTCTACACATGGGATGCTTCATCAACTTACATTCACGACCCTCCATACTTCAAGAACATCACAATGTCTCCTCCTGGTCCACATCCTGTGAAGGATGCTTACTGTCTGCTAAGCTTTGGTGATAGCATCACAACAGACCATATTTCTCCTGCTGGAAGCATTCATAAAGATAGCCCTGCTGCCAAATACTTGGTGGAGCGCGGTGTAGAAAGGAAAGATTTCAATTCCTATGGGAGTCGTCGTGGTAATGATGAGGTAATGGCACGAGGAACATTTGCCAACATTCGCCTTGTCAATAAGCTACTGAAAGGTGAAGTTGGACCAAAAACAATCCACATTCCCTCAGGGGAGAAACTTTCTGTTTTCGATGCTGCAATGGTAATTCTTCAGACCCATCAAAATAAGTGACAGAACTTTACTTTTATTTTCAAACTAATACTTGCTTTTAGAACTTCGATGTTGATGTTTTAGTTCAACTTTCGAAACGTTAACCGGTTTTTTATTTTTAATCTAACAGCAATATAGAGCAGATGGTCATGACACAGTCATCTTAGCTGGTGCCGAGTATGGGAGCGGAAGCTCTCGTGATTGGGCCGCAAAGGGCCCAATGCTACTGGTATGAATTTTATTTGATTATTAATGGATTATGCTATGGTGCATTAAAAGAATAACTAGTAGAAATTTCATTAGTTGAATTTTTTTTTTACAACTTTATGCAATTAGGTGATGCCTTAAAATTGTGCGATTGATTCATGATCAATCTCTTTTGCTGGAGAAATTATTCTGTGCGGACATCGGACTGAGAGAACCGTTTGGATTTACTTCCCTTTTGCTGCGCTTTTGTGAAAAGGCAGTAAAAGGGCAATAAATATTCCAATTATTAATGCATTTTTATTGAACTTTTATTATACTTTTGCAAAAGCGCAACAAATAATCAATTATTTAGTAAATATTAAATATTTGCTGCCCTTTTATTGTCCTTTTGAAAAAGCGCAACAAAAGGACGCTTAGCAAATCCAGACGGTTCTCTTCGTCCGGTCCGCACAGAATTATTAGTCTTTTTTTGCTGAAGCTAATTGGTTAATGAAAAAAAAAAAGAGAGCCTAAAAGTGAGAATACCTTAAATACTGTCCTTGTTTAATGGCTAATTGTTTCTCCCTCTCTCTCCCTCTCTCCCTCTCTCCTTATTCTCCACCAGTAACAGATGTCTGTCCGTATGTATCTTCTGCTTTCCCACCTCTCTTAGCTTTTCTCTCGGTGATATGCTTTTGGCTTTCTACAGCATTTTCATCCCATCAAGCACTTGGGTCCGCCTATTATACAATGCATTAGAGGCGGTACAATTCAAGTAAAAAATGTGTTATAGATAACAATTGTTGCAGTATATTTTGAATTTATTCTTATTTAGTAACAACAAAGATATTTCAAGATTTTGTACTATGGTAAACCTTCCGCTGGCCAATTTGTTGGAAGGCATCATGGCTGACTAAATACTTGTTATATTGCAGGGGGTCAAAGCTGTGATTGCTAAGAGTTTTGAGAGAATTCATCGCAGCAACCTTGTAGGAATGGGTATCATTCCCCTATGTTTCAAATCCGGTGAAGATTCAGAGACCCTTGGGTTAACTGGACATGAACGCTTCACCATTCATCTCCCAATCAGTGCGGCTGACATCAAACCCGGCCAGGATGTCCCCATTACAACAGATAATGGCAAAAGCTTTACCTGCACTGTCCGATTCGACACTGAGGTAATCTAAGAGAAGTTTCTTATAGTTCAAATATTTCTACTAAGGCTTTGTTTGGCACGGCTTTTTTACTGCTTTTTAAAACAATTTTTTAATATTAAAAAACTGCTTTAAAAAAACAGGAAGAAAGCCGTCTCAAATGAAACCTAAAATTTGTTACTGGACTAATCATAAGCTTCATACTGTAACAGGTTGAGTTAGCATATTATAACCATGGTGGAATCCTACCATTCGTCATCAGAAACCTGATTAGTGCTAATCAGTAGATTCAATGGAAAAAAAAAAGAATTTTGTTTTTTTTTTTTATATAATTATTGTGCCCATGTCCTATTATTTCTCTTGGGTTTTTTGATTTATGCGCCCAGGAAATAAACAGAAGTACAGGAGATTTTCATGTTCAACTTAGTGAAGCCATAATAAACCTGATGATTCAGGTATTCTTGGAAAGTACAATTTTCCTCTTACAAGGCATTACTTTCCAGCAATCTTTACATCTAATTAGCATTGTAACTCAGTTTTTTAAGTTTTGTCAGACTTGTAAGCTGTAACCTGTACACGCCTTAAACCCATATGGGGACCCTTCCAGTTTTGAAAATAATGGGAGGAATCCATATCATTTGAAATACCTTAAAACTGTTGAGAGTTTTTTTGTGACTTATGCTCGTAGAATAGTTATTGTTATGAGTGTTTATTTCATTTTTTGCACAAATTGATGCTGAGAAGTTCCATTAATCATTTGCACTTGAATAATTAGCCATTTCATGTATTTCATGCACAAATTTATGCAGACAGCTTGTTTTGAAAAATTCTTTTGTGGAGATGTTAGCTGCGATGAATGTTCTGAGCCAAGTGCATTTTGATTAAATTGATTCCAATTTTAATTGGAGGCAGACCTAAATAAGGCTAAGTTTTATATGAATTGAAATTAAACTATCTTGCCTTATTCCATAAATTTATAGAAAAGTCGTTATTATTCTAATTTTTAACATCAAACAACAACAACGATATCAAAATTTTATCGTATTATGTGGGATCGATTATATGAATCTTTTTTCTTCATTGTATCATGTTAAGAGTCAAATTTTTATTTAAATTTAATAAAGAGATTATTTTTAATATTTTTTAACCAAGCCTTTTTAAGACTATCTCTACCTTTTTTAACATAAGTTGAAATCTAATACATAAATTTTTCTAACTGGGCCATCAGAAGGTTGCCGTTTTATATGACCAAATCATTTAGACGACTCTCTCTAATCTTATCTTTCATTAGAGCAATTCCAATTTTCACGTATATTTTTATTTTGAATTCTATCTCTTAAGAGTAAAGTTGCTCATCCACCTGAGCGTTCTCAACAACACTTAATTTAATATAATGCTTCTCTTTTAATGCTCAACATTCTGCACCATAAAGCATTACGGGGCTTAACATCTTATAGAATTTTTCTTTAAGCTTAAGGGGGTTTTTCTATCAAACAATAAGCCCGATACATTCATCCAATTCAACCATTCAACTTGAACTCTACTAATAATATTCCCATCTATTTCACCTTTACTCTAAACAATAGATTCATGAAATTAAAAATGTATATTCTTATTAATGACTTAATCATCTAGTCAAAATCTTTTCACTAGATCTATAACGGCTAAACACTACATGTATTTAGTTTAAATCTACTTTAATGAAAATCTTTAGTCTAAACTTGACCTCCATAATTCAAGTTTACCTTCAACTCCCTCTAGTCCTATCAACGAGAAAAAAATCATCAACAAAAAGCATACACTAAGGTACAATCTCTTCCAAATGTCTAGTGAGAACATCCATGAATAAAGCAAAAAAGACATGGGTTTAAGATTGATCCTTGATGTAATCCAACTGAAATAGATAAATACTTGATCAAATCATCTTGTATTTGAATACGAGTAACAACTCGTGGATACATGTTCTTAATGACTTGAATATAATTTACTAACCCCTTTCTTTTCTAGATCTTTTTATAGCACTTTTCTTGAAACTTTGATTTATGAAATTGAATATCATGACATTGATTTATGTTTATTATGCATAAGACATTATATATATATATATAAAGATTAAATGTATCCTAAATATTTAATTCATATCATTAATTTCAATCAGTTTGTAAGAACATTGCACTTCAAAATCATAATTACCTCCAAATATTAAATAATAATAATAATAATTACCTCCAAATATAACTTCCTACAAAAAAATAATAATTACCTCCAAGTATAACTTCCTACTCATTAAAAAAATTTAGGCACATTACATTCTTCCTAATAATTATTCAAATATTATTTAAATATTATAACATCAAAAGATTAAAAAAATGTTTGAGCCACTAGATTTTAAAGATGACAATATTTGATGGCATCATTATTTAAATGGGAAGAATAATTTAGATACATGGATGAACAAATAAAAAAAATGGGTTTAAAGTTCCATTTGAACTATATTTTTTATTTACATTTATTTATTTTAATAATATATAAGTCAACTATTTAGCATCTAAGATTTGGGAAATATTGGGCCTTGATTACTTGAATAATTATTTTTTTTTAAAAAAAGTTCATTACTTTTCAAATTACTTAAAGAGTTATTTGTCAGCAATAATGACTCCTAACCTATCCTTATGTGACCCTTAATCAAAATTATTTATTTAATAGTTGGATCTTTTAACAAGTGGTCGTGTAAGAACATGAACTAACCAATTCCTCAAATGAATGAACTGTAATTTGCAGTAATTAATGAAGAGTAAATATCCAGAAAATATAACTTCAATTTTCATATTTTAAAAATGCATTTAATAAGTTACATAAAATATTTATCTGCTACTTAGAGAGCTAACAAATTAATCTTATCCAAGATTTTTTTAATACAAATTTCTACCTAAAAGAAAAAAATTAATGGCAAAAGAAGCAAATATTAACGCTTGATTTCAAGATATCTTATTAATGAAAAATGCAATAAAAATGATTTGATTATGGAAAGATTTGGTGGAAAAGTTCCAAAGAAACATTATCTCCTCCCTGACTAGATTAGTTTTCCCCTGTTTTCAGACCAAGGATAAGAAGTTTTGGATCATTCTGGCTCTACTAAAAGATAGGGATGTTATTAAGGAAAAATTATATGTGCGGAGATCGGATAAAGAGAACTATTCGGTTTTGTCTCTGTGAATAGTAAAAACACAGTGATGAACAGTAACTACACTTTTACTGTTTACAAAGACAAAACTGAATAGTTCTTTGTGACTGACCTCCATATGTAATAATCTCTCTCATTGTTAAGGAGATCAAAGTTGTCGGAATGGTGGTCGGGTGTTCAGAGCTGAATGTTTTAAACAGTTTTTCAATAGGCGTTTTGAGAAAGTTCTAGTGCTTTGTTGCATCCTGGAGGCAAATTTTCCGGTACTATCTTCCTAGTAGGGTCGGCCTTCCGATGATCTGGTTAGAAAAGTTGAGGTATAAGATTTGACTTATGTTAAGAAAGTTAGAGGTAGACCTAAAAAGACTTAGTTAGAAAATATTATAAATGATCTTTCTAGTGGGGGCAATATTTACTTTAAGAAAAAGATCCTAAACGCCCCAAACAATCACTAAAACTTAACTCTCATCAATGTAATTTATAGGAGAGAAAAGAATAGAGTAGCATCCAAATTGTCACAGGATCTACATAGCTAAGAAAAAGAAAGATCTGACAGCAAAAGACTTAAGAAATGGCCAGAATTAGCCCTTACATTTAGCAACGATGTAAATGTGCATATTATCTGAAAGCAGAACTACAAATCAGCATAAAATAAGGTAACAATGAATCACTGATGATAATATAAAGTAAAGTGGGCACTCAAAAGTTACCCGACTAACCATGGCCCTGCATATCAAGCATTTCATCCAGAACCTTCAGTCTTTGTAAGCCTTCACTGATGAGGAAGCGAATTTTCTGTCTGTCATCACAATACCTATTCTTCTCCATTTCAAGCCTCATTGTCAGCCTAAGATCATCTGCAGATAGCCTTCACAGTTCAGTTCACAATTCATATAAGTATTACTACCCTTCTAAGATAGCTTTTTAATCTAATATTTTATATAATCTTCAAACTCAATATCATACCGTTGATTTTCATCAACAACATATGAATTATAAGTGGATTTATATCGTCAAGAAATCATGTATTTAATTTCATGCCATTTATAGGTTTCTACACTTCAAAATTATAATTATCTTATCACACAATCAAAGGAAAACATTGTGAAATTTAATATTCATACAAATTGATGATCAAATGATCTTAAATTTTTTTTTACTTTGCATGTCACTAATTTAATTGATGCTAAAGAGAGACTTCAATTTTGATGTTGCACAGGCCATAATATCAAATTTGAATTGAATAGAGAATGGAGATTCTCCAAAGAGGAGAATTACTATATCCTCTGAATTTTATTTTTGCATCACCACTTTATCACATTATTGCCTATTAAATATAGCATACAAATTACATGTTGATCGAGCTACATCAATTTTTATGAACTATTTATCAAGCATATAAAAATTAAATGAATTATGAAACTGTCATATGGAAGACCTTTCAAAAGTCTAATGTCATCCGCCAATCAAAACTGCCGATATAGGTAAGATATCACCATTAACTTATGCATTTGATTTCAGACCATTTGAAAGTTTCTACATTTTGAAATCATGTTTATCTTATCATGCAATAAAAGCCATTTGATTGACAATCAAACGATCTTTAAATGTCTTACAATCATGGACATCATTAGGTTTAATGGTGTTTAAGAGAATGGATGTTTTTACTTTTGCATATGATGAACTTAACATCAAAATCATCTTGGAAGGAGAATGATAATTATTCTCTTAGGAAGAGAAAATTTCATCCATATATATATATATATATAAGCAGTACTTCAGCAACAGAAGAATGCAATGACAAACCTCTTGAATGAGGAGGGGCACGACGAGCAATTCTTAAAGCATGCCTATAGAGCTTAAGAACACGTGCCCTGACAATAAATGCCTTGAGATCCAATGCTTGAGCCATAGTTCTTAAGAATTTATTTCAATTATTTCATGTTATGGTAGTCTTTTCCATTGATGCATATCCAGAGTTCCTACATTGTTGCAACTCTCAGCTCACCACTCTTCATCCATCTATGTCCCATGTGTCGGCAACTCACTATTAAGCTGACCTAGATGTGCATAAAAACAGCATTAGAGTTAACAGGCTACTAAAAGCTGAGCATCCTCAAATTTCAATATCTTCAGAAATTACTTCAAGGGATTACGGACGCAGTCCACTGGCACTAACTTTTTTACTCAAAAGTAAATGAAATGACATTAGCACAACAAAGAAGGTTTACTATCTAAGTGGGTCTTCACAATTGAAGGTTCCCAACAATATCCTAGTTGATTAGCTCACAAGAATTTGAACAAGAGTACTGCTACAATCTCAAGCAAAATTCACCTTAAAAATAGGATTAAGCTCCATTTTGCTCAAGTGAATTAAACTAAAGTGGAAAGAGAATTATATATTCTTTTGTTTGGGAGAGTATTTGATTGATCCATCTAAACAAAATGAAGCTCAAGCTCATATTTATCGAATTTGTTTGAATGAAGCCTTACTCTTTCAACAATTAATTCATCTTTATTATGCCAACCTAGTCAATCATCTAGCTCTAACTACACAAACAGCCTCACAAGTACTAAGAAGACTGGTAGGATGATATGCCTTGAAAGCAAAAATAACAAACAATAATATAAAAAATGCAGTAAAACCAAACGGTGGCTGATTTTTTTATTAAAACTTCAATACGAAAAAACAAGATACATGTGATCTACAATTCGATGGGTAGATCAGTTCTCCCAATCAACCTAGACGCCTCTAGGAAGCCATCAAAGAAAAGAACTACAACAAATACCCACAAAACTCATCAATAGCATGAACCTATAACTCTAGACAACTCCCTCTTAAATAACCCTAGAACACAATAACACAATTAGAACCTTCCTAATCAGCATAAGCATAATTTAGGAAACATTTCTAAATAAAGAGAACCTTCCTAATCAACATAAATATAATTTAAGAAACATTCCTAAATAATTAAACATGATTTAAGAATAATATGAGCAAATTACCTCAGAACTTGATCTGGCTACAATTGTTAGGTTATTATTTTTTCTGTATGAGCAAATTACCTCACAAAAAAATATGCAATAATTATATATGATTTTTCTATCATCAATTGATCAAACATAGCTAACATAAAAAATGCTTCAACATTAAGATGTTCATTTATGATGTATAGTAGTAATTTCCCTAATTATTTTTTTATGTCTCAGGATACACAAACAACTTTCTAATATTTTTAGGAATTTGCATGTACTAACTCAATCCACACAAAAAAAGGAGAAATAAAGTCTAATGAGAGAGTAACCTAGATGAATTTGCAAACCGACCTCAATGAGAGATGTCCCAGGATAATTTACTAATAACGTTATGAGTGTTAATTGGAGCGTCAACAGGTTTGCAAAATAACATACTAGTTTCTTCAAGAAGATCAGTGGCATATACTCACTGAGACAAAAAAGCTCCTCTATCGTAGGCAAATTCTATTCTTAGAATTTATTAGGATGATCTAAATCCTTGAGCAAAAAATACTTTTGTAGATAGTATTTTAATTTTAATAACTCCTTCCTCGTCACTTCCTAAAAGTAGACTTCCATCTAAATGGATTACCAAGATAATAAAACCAAATGAAATATTATGCCTGATGAAGATGGAGTGATTACATTGCCGCAAAAGCCAAAGGAAAGATGATCAAAGGACATAAGATTGAATAAGATGATCAATCCATTGTTGCTTTTCTTTTTGAATGTCAACGGGTACATGGAGGTGAGATAATTCTCTATAATGTGGATAATCAGCTAGTTCAGATAATGAGGGAGGTGTTGTTACAGGAGGGTGAGGTTGTTGTAGGTATACTAATAGATGTGAAAATATAGGTATTTATGCTTTGAGAGGAATAGGGATAGGCAAAGATGATGGTTAAGAGAAAAAAGGTTGGGAAAAGTAGCGAGAATAGTCATGAAAAATAACAATTGTTAAAGTATACATGTATAGTTGTCCGGTTATAAGAGAGATAACTTTTCTAAGAATGAGAGGACCCAAAAAAAAAAAAAAAACACTGAACAACCTAAAGAGAGAATCTATTAGCAGTCTAAAAAGAAAGTACAAAGTACCAAAATTTCTTGATATAAAAGGAATGTGGTGTTACAAGAGATATAAAATGGAGGAGTTAACATCACTAAGGACAATAAATAGGATATAATTGATAAGTGAGTATATTTCTCAACAATATAAACTAAAATTAGTACTGTTATAAATCAAATAAGTGCTTAAGAAACAGAAGTAATTGAACAAAAAAATCCCGAATATGTAGGTTGTAGATGAGTCATGATGTATTCTCTACATGCCTCGTTATTTTTCTTTGCCAAAAAGCTGAACTTTTTTTTGTGTATATTGTATTATAAGAGTTTTAAAATTTTTAAAAATGGAGGTTATACAGTAGTGGAATGCATAAAATCTTCTCAAATCTATTGTTGAGATAACAATGTATTACGTCTTTCAAAAATTTGTGCATTACATTGCCGGAAGTGGGTTTTTGTTCTTAAATGAGAAGCTGAGGATGTATGAAGAGCTGTATAAACATGTATAGCTTCTTCCTTCTATGGGTTCTTATGCACAGTGATAGGAAATACTTGAGTTCGCAAGTAACCCTAAGGTAATACTTGAGTTTGCAAGCAAACCTAACCCAAATCAGTGAACAAACAGCAGCCAAATGGCTGTCCACGCAGGAAAAACACAGCAAACTGCTGTGTACAGCAGTCAAACAGCAGAAATTTAGAGGAAAACTGAAGGAAAACTCAAAGCACAACTTGTATTCCACTAGACGATGAATAAAATAGCAAGATATAATTGATCCTCATTTCGAGAGGAGGATCGATCTCTCCCAAATCTCTAGACGCCGATAGAGCCCAAAGAAAACCTAAATCTAAGAGATCTCAAATTTCAACCAAATTCAAGATACTCAAACCCTAGGAAAACCAACTATTTAATGCATACAAATCAAAAGGAAATCCCTAAACAGTCCCTACATTCAAATTTCCCTCTCAAACCCCTCAAAAAAGCTTCCTAAAATGCTCTAATGGGGCTTCTTGAAAAGAAAGGAGTTAATAATGCTTATATTCAAATCATTAAAGATATGTATGCAGGAGCTATTACTTGTGTTCAAACACAAGGTGGATTGACCAAGTATTTCCCTATTTCGGTTGGGTTACATCAAGGATCAGCCTTAAGCCCATATCTTTTTGCTTTAGTCTTGGATGTTCTCACTAGACATTTGCAAGAGGATGTACCTTTGTGTATGCTTTTTGCTGATGATATTCTTCTTGTTGATAAGACTAGAGAGGGAGTTGAAGGTAAACTTGAATTATGGAGGTCAACCTTAGAGTCTAAAGGTTTTCGCTTGAGTAGATCTAAAACGGAATATATTGAGTGTAATTTTAGTAGTAATAGACCTAGTGAGGGGATTGTGACTTTGGGCGATCAAGTCATTAATAAGAGTACACGTTTTAGATATCTTGGATCTATTGTTCAGAGTGATGGTGAAATAGATGGGGATATTATCAGCATAATTCAAGTTGGATGGTTGAAGTGGAGGAATGCATCGGGCTTGTTATGTGATGGAAATGTACCCCTCAGACTTAAGGGAAAATTCTATAAGATGGTAGTGAGGCCTGCAATGCTTTATGGTGCCGAATGTTGGCTTTTAAAAGAGAAGCATAATACTAAGTTAAGTTTGACAGAGATGAAAATGCTCAGGTGGTTGAGTGGCTTTACCCTTAGAGATAGGATACGGAATGAGCATATACGTGAAAAGGTTGGGGTAGCTCCAGTAGAAGATAAGATTAGAGAAAGTCGCCTTAGATGGTTTTGGTCACATAAAACGGCGGCCTTGTGATGACGTCCCGGTTAGGAGAGTAGAGGTATTAAGTTTGACTTATGTTAAGAAAGGTAGGGGTAGACCTAAAAAGACTTGGTTAGAAAATATTAGGAATGACCTTTCTTTATTAGATTTAAACGAGAATTTGACTTTTAATAGGACACAATGGAGAAAAAGGATTCATGTAGCCGACCCCACGTAGTGGGATAAAGGCTTGATGTTGTTGTTGTTGTTGTTGTTGTATTGCTGAACCATGGGCTGCACGGAAAGAAAAACATCCCCTCCCTCCTCCAATCTGATCACATCCAACCTGTGTAGTCCCATCACATAATCTTCCCCCACCTTTTGTATGTCCCTAACCATAGTTTTAAGTGATGTCATGGCTTTGGATAGCCTTGCATCTCCCCTTATAACCACCTTTCTCCCATCCACCATTAATTCCATCGTGAGTGCTCCCCAATTGTCCTTGGTTTCCCCCAAAGTTTGCAACCATTTCATTCCCAAGATGACATCAGTACTTCCTAACTCTAGTGGGAGAAAATCCTCCCTTACCTGAATCTCCTGGATGATCAACACCACTCATCTACAGATCCCCTGGCCTTTCTCCACCTTCCCTGTACCCATCATCACTCCATAGCAACCGGTGTCCATCAACTTCACTCCCAATTGGTCAACGACCTGAGTGGAAATAAAATTGTGGGTAGCCCCACTATCAATTAGCACCACCACCTCACAGTCAGCTATCTCTTCTTTCACTTTCATAGTGTGACTCGAAGTGAATCCCACTAAAGAGTTCAGAGAGACTTCTGCCATATCCAGGTGCAACTTCTCCTCCTCTTCAGATATGCTCCCACCTCCCTCCTCGTCTCCCTTGTCTTCACAGACAAGGAGAACCTAAAGAGTTCGATCCTTCCACCTATGGCCTGGCATGTACTTCTCATCACATCTGAAGCACAACTCCTTTGTCCTCTTATCTTGCATCTCCTTCTCTGTCAGCCTCTTGAAATTTTCCCCACTCCCTCCTACTAGCTTCTCCCTAGTGGTCTCATTAATATTGCCTGATGCAGGCTGCTTGGGTGCTAGAAGAGTGGTCGTCGTCCCATAAGATCCCCCTGAATAGTTTCCTCGATCCCCTCTTTCTGATTTCTTCTGATCTTTCACCAATTGCATCAGCTCCATAGCCTTCCCTAGGTTCCTCGGCT